GCTGCTTTTTATTGTAAAATTGTCTGAGAAAAATTACTACGGTTTAATTATTATATTCACTTCTTGGAATTAACTCAAAAGAGGTACTCGTGCACCGCTGAGACTCGCATAGGCATTCTATTTCCCTTATTGCGTATACACAAAGTAGTTGAATTCAGTGGAAGAGATTTCCATGCTAATAAACTGTGGGTAAAATTTTTGTAAGTATGTTTTTCGTCATTAATATAAATAGAACAATTGTCAGATTTTTAAAAGGACAGATTAAACAGTGTTATTAAAGGGGAACACTTGGTTAAGATTTCAGTGATACTTTAATTAAAGGATTCACTGAGAGAGTAGGAGGAGAAGAAATGAACAAAGAAAAGTAAATGGCGATAATGATTAGAGGTGGTTCCATAAGTTTCACATCAACGAGAGCTTAAGTATTAATTAAACTGAAGCGTTTATTAATGCCAGCGTTTCCTTTTTGATCTCTTCAGTAAAAGGGCGGATGTTCTACTACATTTCGATTAGAATGTGATTACAGCTAATTTTGCGTTATTTCATTATCTTTGTACGCTGCTTCCATTCACAATGAACATAATAATAGCAAATGTTTCATGAAACGATTCATAATTATATTTTCCTTTATATACATACATTTAGTAATTGTTTATAATTTCCCATTCTCGATTCTATAGTAGTAAAATTGTTTGCGGTTGAAGTTCGTCTTCCAATTAACGTGTTCTGTACTGTGTTTCCAGAGACAAATGAATGCGATTAACGTTGAAAAGAACGATTTTTTTTTAACAAATATTTAACGAGTTAACAAACTGAATAGGCGAGCGTAATTCAATTTCCCATTCAAATCTTCCGAACAGAAATATTAAATCCTAGTTTTAATGCTTTTTCATTTTCAATCTATGCGTAACGGAGCTTGGATTTATTAGTGCATATTTCCCGAGTAAAAGCGTATACCATATAATCATTTGTCTGGAAAATAGTAGCGGATGACACGAGATGAGACAGAGAGAGAGTATAGGCAGTCTGAAACTGGAACACGACACGCTGATAGCTGCTCGGTATTTTGGGCAAGGTGAAAAATGAATAAAAGTTTCGTAAATTTTAAAAATGCAGAACTTGGGAACATACGAATTTTATTTACCAAGCAGTAACGAAGTTTACAAGTCGTGGACAAATAATAAACATAGTAGAATGCGAGATACACTTCGAAAAAATTGCACGTTTTCATATAACATTACATATGCTCTTTCCTTTTATCATTTATCACGAATTAAAATTTTTTTATTTAATTTAGTTTCGCGGAGCTATTTCTTAGATTTAATAAATACGCCGCGAATTCCTTTTTCCGCGTGCTTCGTATATTCTCGAGGTTCACTAATTTCGTACAAAGAAGCATTCCATAAATTCCTCATAAATCTTTATAAATGTAATACAGGAAATGGATTTTGAAAAATTGTCTTATCATAACTAATCAAGACGAATATTGCACAATTATTTATATTAGTTCTACTAATATTAATTTACAAAAGAAAATATAGACAATTAGCACGGATGAAATCTATATAAAGGAAATTGGCGAATCGGTTAATTAATTAATTAATTAAACAAACAATCCTAAACGTACGCTAGCGTCGATATTGGCTATGCGTTATCTTTCACGTGATTATTGTATGCATCCGTCCATAACATTATTAATTTGTTTAAATCGCTTTGTGATGAAATACGTGCACTTTCAGCTAGTGTTCATTTCTGAAATCCTATTCATGACTGATTCTCTGATGACTGATGGTCTATCACATGCAAAGAGTTAATAGTTTATACGAAGTTCTTTATTAACCCGTTCATATAAAATCTACAGCATGGCTATTTGTTTCGTATAGTGAACTGTAACTCAAGTGAACGGGTTAATTCTATAATTGGTGTGTAAATGCCTGCTTCGTTCAGAGATAAACAGTAGTTTGGAATCCATTTTAAGCCTAGTTTGAGCCAGAATTTCGAGATTTCTCTGCTTCTGATCAACAGATTACAACTGACTGTAGACATTCCAAAGATCAAAGTTAAGTAAACAGATATTAAATCATTCATTCATCAATGAATGAATCATCCACTAAACGCATCAAACGAAATGATGGGTAATAAGTAAATTACGGGATTTTATGCAATATAAAAGTTTTGTGATATGAATTTAAAAAATGAAATATGGAGATTTCCTTTACCCTCTAAGAATAATCTCAACTACTGCTCTTGGAAAGATACAATCTTGATAATACTCTTATGATGTAGGTACTCACTCAATACAGAAATGGTTCTTCAGAATTTCACCCCCAAGGAATAAAATCTTTTTATGAATTCTCGAGCTTCTCTTAAAATATTCGATTTTTATTTCTAAACGATACAAAACGATTTATGTAGAAATCCATTTTTCATATTACATTCAAACTTTCATACAACATACTATCCCGCTAAAGGGGTGAAGAGAGATGACATGTGTTTTTACAAATGTCCAAATTTCTTTTACATGACGTCCTGATTTTTATCAAAGATAAACGAATGAATAATTATCTCTATAAATTCATCACGCAATCGAAGTGATGCGGATGCTAGTAATATATAAATAGATAAATGTCTAAATGGAATTGCCTCTGTAGATACGAACATGAACATCTTTGCGTGACATACACGTCCCTTGCAGCGATGGTATTTTCAGTAACTGCTACGTGGACTATTTTCAGGTAGAATGATCGAACGCGGCACGATCACACGAACCGTCAAAGTATATATTATAAAATATATTTCTAACTCATCTGTTCCAGTCGACATCATAAGGCAAAATAATTCGTTACTTCCCAAGAGATACGCTGCTTCTTTAAAAAATATTACCTTCCATTTAAAAGAATTTATAATTCGAACGATCGGGGAGTTTATTTATCGAAAACAGATATTCCTCTGAATACACGAGAAGATGGTAGTTCAACAATTTCTTTCAATCGTGCCGGTTATGAATAGCTCTATCCGTGGGTATTAAGTTTCCGCAGAAAAGAATCGTCTAAATAGAACCGAATAAATAGAGAAGAGACTTAGTCGTTCGAATATGCATATATTTCTGTTTTATTTCTGTCTTGCTAATTCCGTCCATCGATTCCTCCGCTTTTCTTAAGGTCATAGGACGTGCTATGTATAGTAACAAACAAACGTATTAATTAATACTTCATACAACAATCCTACAATGAATATTACAAATATTGCAAGATAATAAAAGTCAACTTGATTCGCGACGATAATTTATAAAACTCTGACAGAACATATGATCTAAATATCTGCATAAAAAGAATATCACACATGATGAAATTTTGTTTGTTAATTATATATTTTTCAAGAATGGTCATTTGTACGATATTCGTTTAGAATTTTGGGACAATGTGTTGCTGCACAGAGATATGGTAGATAATACATTCATGCTGAGAATACATTCGTGCACGACGTGTCCCGAGGCGCCATGGATCAAAGGTTAAAGGTTGCACATACACATGGCCGAGATTCTACATTAGCAGTAAAATAGAGCCATTCCGAGTCCAATCTTTCAACTCGCTACTCATTAAGATAGAACTCGTGGGTCGCGCATTCGTTACTAGCTTCCTCAACTCGTATGCATATACATGACTTCCTCTCTACTAATAAATAAACAAGTTATCCCATTCCGTGACTTCTTTCCGGTTTCAATCGTCTCCTAATTGAATTGAACACGTGTGATGAGAAGTGGAAAAAAGAATGTGTACTGATTAGGTAGGCCAATATAATTCTGGGCCACGTGTGTTACCCTTATTGGTAATAATGTTTCTGAACTGAATCATGATCATGAGCGCAGGTATCAAAGGGACGCTTCCGTGTCTCAAATTGCTTCTAGATTGCCTCGTAAGCTGCAGCTCTATATGAGTGCTTACATCAATATCTTGTTAGTCCTTGTTTGACGTATAATATGTAATATGTACCATTTTTAAACTATTTCATCGCCGCACGTGTAAGAAATACTTCCTTATTAGAATGACACGGGGGCTATGTGAAACTTCCTGGGGGCAATCCTGGCAGATGAGGCAGTCTCCAAGAAGAATTCCGGTGATAAAGGTTCGCCGAGGTATAACACTCAAAAGGAGTTCCATTCGCAAGAGAACGTCAGATCGGGAATTTCACTGAAGAGAATGATATGCATCGATAGTTATCCAATTGTACAGTAGGATGAACAAACACTTTTGAAAAAGTATGAAATGCAATAAGCTTTTTCGGTGAATATCATCCCAAAAGCATACAACTCTGGTTCTGCCTTTGACATTCTTTTTTTTTTACAATACTTTGTTACATTTTTTTCGTTGAATGTTTCAATCTGAATTTCTATCAGCTATTTGTAATCGCGCTTGATTTTGTTCTTTTTACAATCTCACCGATTGGCATAAACGTTCATTCAATGTTTTTTCTATTTCGATGAATTTGATCGTTAATTGAACTCGATGAAAAGATACTTCAATTAGCATTGTACAGGAACTACCTAATGACGAATATTTATAGTTTGTATGCGGCTATCGGATCGGAAAATAACTCGGCTCGGCTCTGTTCGATATCGATGAAAAATCTCATCGAGATTCGTTCATCGAGAACATCAATTATCTTCTTAATTGCGTTTTCCCAAATTGCGTTTGTTTGATATACATACCGACCATATATACGTATCCATGTACGTTTGTACGTAAATACATATATCGCGCGTATCACAATTCCAATAGCTAATAGCTGTTTGCGCATAAATGATCACGTTACTCCCTGTTATTGTTAGATTTGTTCAATACGGAACACGATACTCGTTGCTGTCGCCGTTGTTTCACAATTTGTGGTTACGGGTAAATCAATAACGTATCGGATAGTATGACTGTCTTTTAGTTTTTCCGGCTAATTCGAAAGAACGCGCTTCGTTATTCACTGCGTTCTGAATGCGAAAATAAGGGAAATTCTCGTTAACTGTTGAATATTAATTGGACACTCTTCCTAATTACGTGTTGAACGTCGATTACCCGAACTAAACTCGTTCGGATAAGCGATTTTTCGGATAAACAACGTTTCGTAAAACCGGCGTGTCTGGATTAATCGACGTTTTACTGTAGTTGTATCCAATTTTGTGAATCAGTCTCGACAGAGAATATTTCACGCGGTAATGAAGGTCAGGGAGGAAAATGAGGAGAAAAGCTGGAGTAACTTGCAACAAAACAAGTATAGTAAAAACCTGCGGTTGCTTCTATAATAATCCGTGTGAAATGTGAACGTAAAAAAGTAGCATAACGAAAGCGAGATACAAGGAGGATAAATGAAAAACAAAGAGGAACACGAAAATAACTGTAAATGGGATCAAATTAGGATTCGGCTAATGAAACGTGAGAAGTATGTTAGAAAAGAAATATTTATTCAGATTCTTTTAAAAAAATATTTATTTAATCAAGATTGTTGTTACATTTCTTTAATCAAATTAAGAAAGATATTCACAAAATAATGATCTTTATAGAAATATTACAAGATTTCATGATTCTTGAAATTCTATTAGGCACTCTTATGGTTGATCTTCTCTACTGAAGTACGTAACGCGACGCAAATTGATGGAGGAGCCAAGTGATCCAGATCAGTAGTGGGACTAACAGGTAGGCCTAACTGGATTATAATTGGTACACGTGATTCCCCATTTTTACGGTCTGCTCCTTCCACTGATTAAAACCGCACTTCTATAGCACGCTTTATCATCGCTCCGCATCTTCTTCCCTCCACGCTCGAAGTAGCGTTATCGGATCGGTGATCGGATATCCGAGTGCATAAGCGTTGTGATGTCGACGTCGACGGTTCTGTTCTTCGGAACGAGTAGACGATGCGGTGTTGGAGGGAGTGAACTTCTGTACATGTTCAAGTATTTATTGTGATAAAGTGTTCATGTCGACAAAGTTCCAAGAGTGCCTTGTTTGCGGATCGGTTGCTCGGAGGTTGCAAGTTTTTGAAAAGCCTGCCGTCGCTCGCAGGTACCGTTGTATCCAATTAACCTTATCCTACGGCAGTCCGTTCCGCGGGATCACTTTATATTTTTTTTTTTTAGATACTTTATATTATAATCCTTGTTTTCTATTATAGTTTTGTGCCTTACAAATACTTGTATTGTATTGTTGTATTGTATTGTATTGTTTATTTACCATCCAATAGAAAAAAATTGAAGATTCTTATTTCGTATGTAAAATATGCAGGATTTAGTTCAGTACGAGCTATTAGATTCAAAAGATATTCGGACGCCGATTATAGTCGGCACCCGTACTCACAGCACGTCGCGCGGTCGCCGACTATAGTCGGTGTCCGTAGCGAAAGGGTTAAAGAGGATGCCTTGACCCAATAAATATATATTCGTATAATAATTATGAATAATATTGATTATTTTAAATGGCATTTAAAAATCGTTTGGTGACAAATAATCCCGGCAAGGGAAATCCATTACTTATTTTCAGTTGGGTAATGGAATGTCATGTTCAACCTGTGCATAGAAGGAACCAGTTCGCAAACAGATTTTAAAAAGGAATTCAAGCTATCTGTGGAAACGAGCATTTCGAAATACCTACTGTCAAATACAATTGCGAAGGTAATGAATCTTCTTTTATAAATATAATTAATTGAATCAACAGACTGTCATCAATATACGTTTAATTTCCGATTTGATTAGTGACGAAATTTATATCTTATAAAGAATTCGAATTTCTGTTTAAACTCATAATAACATATTCTCTGTGATAAATTTATTTAAAATCCGAATATAATAATAATTAAATTTTAATGAACACCTGGTGAATCTAACATTTATTTGAATATTAATAAAGATCGTATGATATCTCATCTGGAAACTCTTAAGAATGGCAGTTGGCCGGCTGCGCATACGCGATCGCCGACAGGCTGTAAGTTAAATTAGTTGAGTGCGTAGTTAAACTTAGTCGGCTGGAGTTATTGCCGGCGAACTGTGAAATTGTAATTCTAATCCGTCGTCGAACAAGTTCGAACGCGCAACATTCATACCATCTCGCGTGGTCTGTAATAAATCCCGGTTGTGACGTATTCGTTTTCGGAGGGGATTAAGTACGAGAGAAAATCTCCACTCTCTCGTCCCCAGGAAATCCTCTGCACGGGAAACTTCTACCTCTTGTCGGCACGTCTAATTTAAATTTTTCCTTACCCTGTGAAATTACACTTGTCTGTCACTGAACACCTTTCGTTCCAATAACAAATGTATGATTAAAATATATGACAAGGCCATTTCATCATTTATTCAAATTCCTTTTATACTGAAATCGTTCTCCACGCTATTGTTATAAATTGCAATTAAGCGAGCTTGAATACTTAAAACCAGCAGATCGCGATCAAAACAGTATGAATGAACAGTATTGGATAGAAAAAATATTCGTTGAAATTGATTGCACGTTCACTACAAACGGTAGAGGTAAAAAACAAAAGGAATTCAGATCAGTTTTCATCTATTCGCTCGGGGGTATGAAGGCGTGGGTTAAAAAATTTGGTGCCAAAGGGATACTCGATTCGCGAGCACACTGGTAAGCGTTCGATGGACGACACTTGCTCGGGGATGGTGAAACATTTCGTTTTAGAGAACACGGGAAGGTACTATGAATCGATATGGAGGAGAGCCTGTTGATGCCACCGTTCAATTTTTTACTCGTTGCATGGTTTTCGTTTGTAAATGAGTTTCGTTCTTGGAAATAGAAGTGACAATGAGAACGTGGGAAGCGATCTCTATACGTGAAATGCAAATGATTACACGCAAAACCTTTAACCTTTATCAAATCGCAACAACTGATGAAGAAAATTATTAATAATTAATGAATACATTTTCAATATCACTTTGATATTTCTTAACGAGGGACAGGAAGTTTAGTAGTTCAATATCGATTTTAAAAACAGCTGCGTCTTCTCATTAATTATTTTCACGTCGATTTATTATTATACGTTGCTTGCTATTATGTAACGAGATATTTTTTTTCTACGAAATTAGTATCACTTTTCATCCTTAATAAATTTAAAATTACTTAAGTTTACAGAAGTTTGTATTTTATAATTCATACAAACCGATTTTTCAATTTCTCGACAATTTTGTTTTTGACAGACCGATGCAAGGGCAAGAAATGTACATAAAAATGAAATGCCACTTTTCATTATTTACACGATATTTAATTTCGAACAATGCTCTCAACGTTCCTAATTAAAAAATTAATTTGCGATTTAAATTATCCTCGGATTCCAAACATGTAAATTCGTTCGCAGGAATTCGTGATATTAAATTGGACTAGAAATAAAGAACTCGTGGTTATAGTTTATAGTATTAGGTACGTTAAATGCATTCGCATGTTAGCTGTGGCATTTCACACGCTTGGGGATCTTCCAAACGCAATTCGTCGACGAAATTGCAGAATTTCAAGTTGTTGGAAATCGCGACTATTTCATGGTCTCCAACCAGTTCCTCCACGCTTTGATGGTTTTCTATCTAAATATTGTATGTTCATCTCGTAGAACATTCAAATTTCACGAATTTCTCCATTTTAATCGTAAATGATAAAAAAGAGATGTAACTGTAATAATTATACTAACTGTAAATTACTTATAACTGTAAATAATTATAATTAATTACATTTCAATAACAGGTATAAATCTCACTTGCTTATCTGCTTTCTACTAGAATACTTTTATTTACAAAGAAACATATTCTCTGTGATAAATTTATTTAAAATCCGAATATAATAATAATTAAATTTTAATGAACACCTGGTGAATCTAACATTTATTTGAATATTAATAAAGATCGTATGATATCTCATCTGGAAACTCTTAAGAATGGCAGTTGGCCGGCTGCGCATACGCGATCGCCGACAGGCTGTAAGTTAAATTAGTTGAGTGCGTAGTTAAACTTAGTCGGCTGGAGTTATTGCCGGCGAACTGTGAAATTGTAATTCTAATCCGTCGTCGAACAAGTTCGAACGCGCAACATTCATACCATCTCGCGTGGTCTGTAATAAATCCCGGTTGTGACGTATTCGTTTTCGGAGGGGATTAAGTACGAGAGAAAATCTCCACTCTCTCGTCCCCAGGAAATCCTCTGCACGGGAAACTTCTACCTCTTGTCGGCACGTCTAATTTAAATTTTTCCTTACCCTGTGAAATTACACTTGTCTGTCACTGAACACCTTTCGTTCCAATAACAAATGTATGATTAAAATATATGACAAGGCCATTTCATCATTTATTCAAATTCCTTTTATACTGAAATCGTTCTCCACGCTATTGTTATAAATTGCAATTAAGCGAGCTTGAATACTTAAAACCAGCAGATCGCGATCAAAACAGTATGAATGAACAGTATTGGATAGAAAAAATATTCGTTGAAATTGATTGCACGTTCACTACAAACGGTAGAGGTAAAAAACAAAAGGAATTCAGATCAGTTTTCATCTATTCGCTCGGGGGTATGAAGGCGTGGGTTAAAAAATTTGGTGCCAAAGGGATACTCGATTCGCGAGCACACTGGTAAGCGTTCGATGGACGACACTTGCTCGGGGATGGTGAAACATTTCGTTTTAGAGAACACGGGAAGGTACTATGAATCGATATGGAGGAGAGCCTGTTGATGCCACCGTTCAATTTTTTACTCGTTGCATGGTTTTCGTTTGTAAATGAGTTTCGTTCTTGGAAATAGAAGTGACAATGAGAACGTGGGAAGCGATCTCTATACGTGAAATGCAAATGATTACACGCAAAACCTTTAACCTTTATCAAATCGCAACAACTGATGAAGAAAATTATTAATAATTAATGAATACATTTTCAATATCACTTTGATATTTCTTAACGAGGGACAGGAAGTTTAGTAGTTCAATATCGATTTTAAAAACAGCTGCGTCTTCTCATTAATTATTTTCACGTCGATTTATTATTATACGTTGCTTGCTATTATGTAACGAGATATTTTTTTTCTACGAAATTAGTATCACTTTTCATCCTTAATAAATTTAAAATTACTTAAGTTTACAGAAGTTTGTATTTTATAATTCATACAAACCGATTTTTCAATTTCTCGACAATTTTGTTTTTGACAGACCGATGCAAGGGCAAGAAATGTACATAAAAATGAAATGCCACTTTTCATTATTTACACGATATTTAATTTCGAACAATGCTCTCAACGTTCCTAATTAAAAAATTAATTTGCGATTTAAATTATCCTCGGATTCCAAACATGTAAATTCGTTCGCAGGAATTCGTGATATTAAATTGGACTAGAAATAAAGAACTCGTGGTTATAGTTTATAGTATTAGGTACGTTAAATGCATTCGCATGTTAGCTGTGGCATTTCACACGCTTGGGGATCTTCCAAACGCAATTCGTCGACGAAATTGCAGAATTTCAAGTTGTTGGAAATCGCGACTATTTCATGGTCTCCAACCAGTTCCTCCACGCTTTGATGGTTTTCTATCTAAATATTGTATGTTCATCTCGTAGAACATTCAAATTTCACGAATTTCTCCATTTTAATCGTAAATGATAAAAAAGAGATGTAA